AGTCACAGTTATCTTTTATCTGGCACCTTTACAGTTGTCAGGCAACACAGTAATGATATGTTTAAAAGAAACAATTAGTGGGGAAAAAATATGACACCAAATTTATGCTTTGCAGCAGAAAGATGAGCCTTTTCATCTTGGCTTTCTGAGTTACACCAATTTTCAACTTCTGGAGGCATCTTGGTGGTTTAACCATGTCTTGAGACCCTCAAATGAAGGCACTTGTGCCTTCCAGGAAAGGATCCTTGGATAAATACAGGTTGCACTTCAGTGTAACAAGTTGCTGGATGCACATGAATGAAGCACAGTAACTTGTGACACACAGATCAGGCCGCAGGTTTTCTTGACTCTTCCTGGTCTTAAATGTTTCACATTTTACCTTCAGCATACTAAAAATAAAAATAAGGCTACTAAGGTCTCCATCCAATGAAATAAGTCTAACATGGGGGAGAAAAGGCAACAGCCAGCGAATTCTGGAGTTTTGCAGTGACACTGTGTGCACAAATTAAAAATTACCAGACCACTTTGAGGATATAAATGGTCCTCATGCAAATTATGTCAGCTGTTGTGCCCACACACTGTGTCCGCAGCAGAACTCTTTGGGTGAGGGTGTTTACCATTCCCAAGCAAAGGCAGGGCAGAATAACCCAACTGCTGGAGAGCCACTGCCCAAACTGAAAAATGAGCACATGGCTTCTCATTCTACATGTGTGTAGGTCCAAAGAAACTCCAGTAAGGGACCCAGCTGTAACAACTAAGAGAAAGGACACCGGGCTTGTATCAGGAAACTTTCACTATCTCAGTTCTGAGCAGCTATTCTCTTTCCATCCAGCAGGTAAATAGCTACTGCGGCTTTGTCCATCCCGGATTTTCATGGCTCTCCACTGTCAGCAAGAACAGAAATCTGTGAAAGAAGCAGCCGCTCACATTCAAGTAAGAAAGCATCTAAAACCCCAAATCCCTGGTTGGCATGAGCACTCTCAATGTAATCACTGCTAATTCCTGTGCCAGTGACAACAGTGGTTGAGTCTGATGAAGGGGAAGACTTGTGCAAGCAGAGCTGAAGCATCTGTTAAGTCTGTGATCTTATTCCACACTAAACTTTCTGGCTACTAGGAAGAAGTGGCTTCTATTATTTCTCTGAGCTTCCCACGCAGCACCAACCCACATCTTCATTACCTTCATCCAACACCCCCAGTAGGTGCCTGCTAGTTCCCTGCAACCTCAGATATCAGCAGAGTGCAACTAATACTACTTGTTACTCCTTAGGTTTTCTGGCCAGTTATCCAAAAATCTCTCCACCATCATATCAGCTAGCTGTGCTGCTGCTGCTTAGGAAAATCTCTGCAACCGCTCGCGTTTGGCCGGTTTTCCCCACGGCCATATGGTCCCAACGCCTCTCCCCCGCTCGCCATGAAAGCTTAACTTGTAATTCGGCAAAAACGAGAAGCCCGCATCACCCTGTTCACGGCTGCTCTGTGGGTTTTTCCAAGAGCTGTAATGAGGAATGTTAAACAAACACCTTTAATTAAAGGAATGTTTGTTTAGTGTAATTAAATGCCTAAGGAACACCGCACTGTTGCAACCCCGGATAGTTTTGCAGTGCGTGCTGTACCTTGCGATACTCGAGTGCGAGGGAAATAATGCAAGCAAATGACAACCTGGCAGTAAACACCCAAATATTAAGCAGCATCCAAGCCATGCTACCCGTTTACCAACGCCTACACGTCAAGAGGAACCGACACTCCTGTATCAGCTGAAACAGGGAAAACTTGAGAAACTGAGTTACAAAAAATCCTGAAAAATAGAGAGGAATAAAACCCCAGCCCCAAACTCACAGCGTTTTCAGTCCCATTTCCTCTACTCTCTTCAACTACCTTTCTATCCGAGCAGAAAAGAGGCGTCCTTTGAAGAACGAGACTTTCGACACCGCTCCCGCAGCGGCACAGGGCTTGTTTTTTATGTGACAAAAGTATTCCCCTTCCTCTCCAGCCGCCTCCACGGCGATCCAGCGCACTGCCAGCCCCGAGTGAAACCCAAGTCTCCCGCCTGGCAGGGTGGAGCATTCCCTCCGGGCTGCAGCTCCGCTCCGTTTTTCGCTAAACTACCGCAACTCACTCCAAGTTTTGGGGCGTTTATTTTGTGAAGACAAAAGGAAGAGGAGCGGCGGGACCCACGGCGGGGGCCGGGGCCAGGCGCGATAGCGGCACTCGAGATGTTTACCGCGACTTCGAGCCCCGGAGCCACGCGGGCGGCGCGGTGCCCTTCCCTTCCCTTCCCCGCCTCTCCCCCCTGCACCTCCCTAGGCCGCTTCTCGCTCTCCAGCGCGGCATCCCCCGACCCCCGCCCCGCAGGTGGGGCGCGCCCGCCGCGACCCCCGGAGAGGAGGAGGGAGGGCAGGAGGGAGGCAAAGAGCGAGCCGGAGCCGGACCCGCCGCCGCGGCGCCGCCGCTCAGCCCCCGCGCGGTCCCCGCGGCGCCGCTCCGCTCCGCGCCGTGCCCTGCCCGGCCGACGGGCGCAAGGTCACCGCTCCGGCCGCCGGCCAGGGACCGGCCGCGGCTGGAAAGCCCCTACCTGGCAGCGCCGCCGCCACTATGGCGGGCCGCGCCGGGCCACGCCGCCGTTCGGCACTTCCCACCTCCCGCCGCCGGCGGAGCTGCGGCCGCCTCCCGCCTCCTCCTCCCCGGGTCCCGGCGGCGGCCCCCGGGCCCCGCTTACCGCGGCGCGGGGAGAGGCGGCGGCCGCCGACGGGGAGCTGTGCCCGCGCCGCTCCCGCCGCTGCTGCTGCTGCCGCTGCCGCCGCGGCTGCAACAAAGGACTTCCGCCCCGCCGCGCTGCCGCTGCCGCAGCGCCGGCTCCGCCGCGACCGCACGGAGCCGGACCCCTCCCCTCGGCGGCCGCGGCTCCCGGCGCCGCCGCTGCCAGCGCTGCTGCGCCGCCGCCAATGCCGGGGCCCGGCGGGCGGCTCCCTGCCGCGCTCCGCTCTCCTCCCATGCCGCCGGGGACGCGGCGCGGCGCGGGCTGGCGCTGTCGGAGCCCCCTCTGCCCGGCTCCTCCCTGTCCTCCGGCGGAGCCCCCCGGACCCACGGAGGGGCAGCGTCCGCCGGCGGGCGCCCACCGGGACCCCTCGTCCGGGCTGTGCCGCCTCGCTGCTCTCCCGGCCCCCCCCAGTCCGCCCCTTCCCCGCGCACCCGGGCTCGCCGCAGCGAACGGGAAGTCGCTGCTCTCCCCCCCGAGCCAGCCGCGGCCGGTGCTGACGGGGAGGCTTCGGTCACCCGTGTGGGTGTCCGGCGATGGAGCGCTGCACCCGCAGCCCCACGCCCCCCGCCTGGGACGGTTCAGCTGCGAGAAGACCACTGTAAGCTGCGTGAGAAAGTATTTCCTTCTCGCTGCTATTTTTCACACGTTAATACCTCCGCCCTCCCTCCTGGAGCTTCACGGTGATGCAGAAGCACAGGGCTGGCAGCCACCGCCACGCTCTGTCACAGATCCCGAGGACAGCGCTTTTTTTCATCCTTACTGGAGCTGTCCCAGGCCCTCTTCCCACCAGTGTCTGGACCTCTCCTGTCTGACAACATCCAGCTTCTCCGGAACTATCCCATGTGAGTAAGTGGGATTTCCGGCCCCCCCTGCTATCTGCCACAGATCTGAGACAAAACATAAGCCAGGTCAGGCTTTCCTCCAGGTCTTGCCACTTGACTTTTCCACCCCCCAAATGGCATTTGTTCTTCAGCACAAGCATTGTAAGTGGTTAATCCGCACAGCTCCATCATTCAGTTTCTGGAGATACCATTGTTTTTATATTGCTGCAACTGAGATCCCTCTAAGTATCTGACGAGCCAAAGGGGCAAACTTAATCATAGCAAAACGAAGAGATTTTATTACGTATTTGAAAATGGCAAAAGTAACAAAAAAAAGGGCAACAAAATAAAATGCCACAATGTTAAAATGTACCAGCATCCATCCCTGCTTCAGTGACCCCGAAGGTCTTCCTGAAGCATCCCTCCACAGTGTAAGCAAACAGGACAAACCCAACTAACACAATCCTAGTTTCCAAATGGAGGATCAGCCCTTCCTTCTGGGTCTGTCATTACAGAATGAAAGCAGAGCCTTCAAAATATGTCTTTCAGAATGGGTCTAAAAAATCCGCATTTCTCCTCTCACTCTGCTTCAGCCTTGCCTCAGGAGTGTGTAGCAATGCCAAGGGAAAAAAAGCCTCTGTGGCTGTAAGACACGAGCTCCCACAGAAGGTGGAACGACCCCCCACATCACAGCTACTTTGTAGGTTTTCCTGTTCTATAGGAAGTTAAATAAACGGCCTCCATAACCCAACAGGGTCGTGGTTTTCAAATCGCACTGAAAAGTTGCTCCTCATATGGTTCCAGAGTCTTTTTCTCCCCACCTCTTTACACACCCTAGGGCAGCACAAGCCAAGACTGCTCTTGTGGGGCTTGTGCAGCCTCTTGCTCTGTCCCATGTGCGTCACAGCGGGAGTTCCTGCCACCTTCAGTAAGGTGGGGCACAAGGCAGTCCCCCTTTCTCACCACCCCTGTTCCTACTGCCCTCCCACCACACTTATCTTTCCAATTTGTTTTTTAAAAAATTATTATTTTCCGACCACAGAGGAGGGAGCAGAAACACCCATGAAGAGAACTGTGGTTATGTCCTGATGTCTTTCTGACCCACCAGCATAGGCTGTGTCACTTTGTATTGGCTGAGGTGAGTGATATCATCGCCTGTGTTTTACAGCAAAACACCAAATTTCATTCCTCATCACTGCTTTCATCAGTTTGGCTCTGGTTTCTCTGAAGCTCTTCAAAGTCCTCTTTGGACCAGAGTCAACCTAAATAACATGTAAATAATTAATCATTTAAATAAATAACATGCCATCTGCAAATAGCGACTCACTCCGTATGCAGGTTAATAAATATGTTAAATAACCCAAAACAGAGTACAAAACCTTGAGCCACTTACTCCCAACCTTCTTTGGGGAAGAAGAGTGGCTACTGATATTTATAGGAGCAGCAGGATTATAGCTCCATGATCTCTCAATTCTGCTGCTGTGCAAACACAAGAGGGAAAGATGGTCCCCAAGTCCTGTGAGCTTTATATTTAAAACAGAAGAAATAAAACATCAAGGCAACGGAAAAGATAAAGCTGTGCTGGTCAGTGGGATAAGCAGCAAACCCATGGATGAAAATGCTTTGGAGCCTACACTCTGTCTCAGCCCATCTTCATCATGCACCCAGGCTCAGGCTGCCTGGAAACAGCCCCACAAGCTGATGCATTCTGGTGGCCGGGGGAATACCTTGCCTTAAATATTCAAGAATTGCAGTTATGGGGATGCAATAAGAAAATGGACTACAAACTATCAGATGCTGAGAGGAAACCAAGAGGGATGATCCGAGGCACGGAACATCTTCTGCAGAGGCCCTGAGTCAGCAGAAATGCCATGGAGGAGGTGGGTGTGATAGATCCTGGAAACTGCACCGAAGTCATGACAAAAGAACTCAAATAGTGATTTTTCACTGCCTTTTCCAGCTGGAAAAACAACGTGTGAGCATCGAATTAACCTGGTGGCAGCAGGATGCTGTATGGACTGGGGGTTTGAACAGGTTCAGGACGCAACTTGGTAAGATTCATCGGAAGGACCACTCAGATGTTGTACAGAGTGCCAGAGCGAGGGGTGCGGCTCAGGGGACCCTCGGGAGGGGCTGCTGGTGGCCAGGCAATCGCGGTGAGGATGGCAGTGCCGCCAGCGCCTCCTCCTCTGCCTGGCACCTCACCCGGCACAGCTGCTCTCACCTAAAATAACCCCTGGTTTAACATCACCGAGCGGCTGGAGGAGGCCTGGCAGAGCAATGGTGCGTCCTGAGGACTCGCGGTGCTTAAAGCAGCACAGAGGCCGCAGACATTGGTGAGGAAGCCAGATCGTATCTTCTCATCCATTCTCACGAGCGGCCAGACCAGGGAAGCTCCTTTAAAAAAAAAAAAAAAAAAAAAAAAAACAAAACCCCAACGCAAACCAAAAAACACCCCCCCACACCCAACCCCTCACCCACTTCATGCCGAGAGCTGAGGCGCTCAGCACACCACACTCCGCCAGTGGGCGACGAAGAAGCCAAGCCCCCCAGCCCAGGGCGATGCCTTTGGCAACGCACGGGAAAACACGCACCCTCCCAAAAGAATCCCCCACCGGGGTGCACCCGCTCTTTCCCTCCCTCACACAGGCGAGGCAGGGCCGCCCTAACCGCGCACGGGCCGCGCCCACCGCAGCGCCAGGGCCGCGCAGGGGCCGCGCTCGCGTTTCCCGGGAGAAGCCCATCCCTGCCCATCCCTGCCCATCGCTGCCCGGCCCGGCAGGAAGCGCGGGGGGGCAGCGCCCACCCCATCCGCCGGGCGGGCCGCGGGGGCGGGCGGTGGCAGCGCTTCCGCGCGGGTAAGCGGCTGCGCGGGCGCGGGGAGCCGCGGGCCGGGCCGGGAGGGAGGGAGCGCGCAGGGCCCGCGCCTCGGGGAGGCTGCCTTCACCGCCTCCCGCTGCGTGTCGTGTCTCCATCCCCTCAATAATTTTCTGCGGAAACAATAGCAAATATCAGCGTTTATTTGCGCAGGGGCCGCTGGCGGGGCGGGGCGGGGCGAGGGCGGCTCGGCCCTCACAATGGGGGCTTTGTTGGGCGCACAGCGCTCCTCTGTGCCGGAGCCGCCGCGCTCAGCCCCGCTCGGCCCCGCTCCCCCGGGCCCCCGCCGCCGCTCCGGGCAGCAGAAAGAACCCTCAGGTCACAGGGAAAACGCGAGCCACGTTTAAAGTTAGCGCTGACACCCCAAGGAGCGTAGTTAATCAGTGGGAGAAGCATCTCTGAGTGTAGCTGGCAGATGGAAAAGTCCCCGAGAGGTCTTGGGCTCATTGGTCGGGGGTTTGAGCACCAGCGGTGGTATCGGGAGGACAAACTGTTAAATTGAGGTGCAGGGACCATCTGGAGGAGGGAAGAGGCTCCATGCCAGACGTCCATCTCGTTTTGGTGGTGAGAAGTGAACATTTGAGCCTTTGGGAGCTCTCTGATTTCTCAATGAGATGAACATCTTGTTCCCTTGCTCCCAGGCACACCATGGATACCACCGGCCACAGCGTCCTCCTCCTCCAGCAGCTGAACATGCAGCGGGAGTTTGGCTTTCTGTGTGACTGCACAGTTGCCATTGGAGATGTTTACTTCAAAGCCCACAGAGCGGTGCTCGCTGCTTTTTCAAACTATTTTAAGATGATATTTATTCATCAGACGAGGTAAGAACACACAGCTCTTGTCATGTCCTTTTACCACTCCCAAGATTCTGCTTTTTCTTCTTTCTAAAGGTATGAAGTCTAAAAGAGTATAAGTGGGGATGTTAGATGGCCTGAGTTTATTTTCCTAACCCAGCACAGGCCTTGGCTCTCTTAACAATCCCAGTCCAGAACGTGCTGCCCTTTAAGACCACTTTATTAATCAGCATATGGCAACATCACACCCGCATTTTGGAGATGAGACATTTGTGCGGCCAGATAAATAAAGCATGTAAGTACCACCATCTTCCTGCCGTGAGAACCTTGCAGATTTGGAATCCAGGGATATCCTGATACCTCCAGCCCATGTGCAATATGTCCAGTACTTTGCCTTAGGTTGTAGTCAAGCTTGCTGGGTGAGAGTATCCTTTCTGGCAGGATACACAGGCTTGAAACAATCGAGAAGCTGTGGCCTTATCACAGTTGTGTGCTTCAGGCTCTTGCAGATAAGGGCTGAGACTGAGATCATCAATTCATTTCAAGCTGTTGTTCACATGCTTCACCTGGTCAGGAGTGGTTCTGCAGGTATAACAACAGCAGTGGCAAGGTCAGGTCTCTGACCTGGGGCTGGCTGCTTATGATGGGTTAAACCCTTCTTCATTCCCTTCCTTTCTGAGGGTCGTGGCCTCCAGCAGCTCTGCAAGATAATCTTTAGAATCGGCTGCATCGCCCCTTGGCTGGAAGTGAGAGGAGTTAACTGCTTTTCACTGTGGATGCTGTTTGCTGACACTTAAGTGCAATGCTCATAAAGATTACACAGTACTGGCAGCTGAATTTATTACTTAAATAAATGGGGTGGCACACACTAGTGATGCTCAGCTTGCATGGCATCACTGCGGTGCCGTGTGGCTGCAGCTGGCTGTGCATGGGAGGGACAGGGTGGCCAGCGCTGGTCACTTGCACCAGCCTCAGCTGCAGTTGTGCACGTGGTCTTCAGAATCACAGGGATAAACGCAGGCTCAGGCACTTGGCTTTGCAAACAGAGCTTCTGTACTTCTGCAGGGCTTGGCAGGGAGTGCTGCTCATAAAAGCACTCTCACAACAAATGGGCAGGTAATGGATCAGGATTTGGATCCCTGTATGTACTTAATCATCTCTTTTGTTTCAGCGAGTGCATAAAAATTCAGCCTACAGACATCCAGCCTGACATATTTAGTTACTTGTTACATATCATGTACACTGGGAAAGGGCCAAAGCAGACTGTCAGCCAGAGCCGACTGGAGGAGGGCATCCGCTTTCTGCACGCAGACCACCTCTCGCACATCGCCATCGAGATGAACCAGGCCTTCTCCCCAGAGCCGGTCCAGTCCTCCAACCTGTACGGGATCCAGATCTCTACGGCACACAAGCTGGCAAAGGAGCGCCTGGGAGCGAAGGAGAGCCTGCCCAAGGCGGGGAGCAGAGCTGCGGCCCAGGGCGATCACCCCCAGCTGCAGCTGTCCCTGGCCATCGGCCTGGACGACGGCCCCCTGGACCAGCAGGTCGCTCGCCCCTCGGCTCAGCCCGCGGCTCTGGCCAAGCCGGCGGAGGAGCGCCCGAAGCTCTCAGTTTCCATAAAGCAGGAGAGGTGCGACTCGGAGCCCGTGGTGTCCCAGAGCTGCACGCCTCCCTCTCCGGAGGTAGCGAGCCCCATCTTTGCCAAGGGCAACCTCCGGGTGCACCTGTGCCACTACTGCGGGGAGCGCTTCGAGTCGCGCGAGGGGCTGCGGCAGCACCTGCACACGCACGTCTCGGGCTCGCTGCCCTTCGGCGTGCCCGCCTCCATCCTGGAGAGCAGCGACCTGGGAGAGGTGCAGCCTCTGGCTGAGGACAGGGAGCCTGGGGACGGCCATCGCCTCGGAGCCTTCCTCCTCAAGGAGGATGAGCATCAGCTGGAGCACCCGAGCTGCAGCGACCTGGAGCCTCTGCAGATCGGGCAGCTCTCCCTTATCTCCAAGGACCATGAGCCGGTGGAGTTGAACTGTAACTTTTCTTTCTCAAGGAAGAGAAAGATCAGCTGCACCGTGTGCGGCCGCACGTTTTTCCGGAAGAGCCAGCTGCTGGAGCACATGTACACGCACAGAGGGAAGCAGCACAAGTACGGCCGCTGCCAGCGGCTGGAGAGCCCCGCCACCCCCAGGTTCCACCCTTACTGTGACAGCGAGAGCGTGGGTAAGAGCTCCAGCTTGTCCCAAGACCATTTAGATGAATGTATACTGGAGTCAGATCTCATCCAAGAAAGTGTTGATACGATCCTGGTAGAGTAATTCTCCCCCTTCAGATGCTGAAACTGGATGTTTTGGCATTCTCCACCTAGGGAGCTCTGTGCAGCTGATTTTCTTGAGCCACCATTCCCCTCACCGCTGAGATAACTGTGAAGGACTGTGTACTTTGATTTGTGTACTTGCTTTTTTTACTTCTCTAACTTTTAAACTTGAGCTAATTCCCATCTAAGTCCTTCCTGGAAGCCTCCGTGTAACTCAGTTATGTTTTTCCTGAATGTGAATTTAGTCCTACTCTGCTTTACTGGAGTTAAGGCTGTATTGCTGGGTGTGAGGTTTAAACATTGTCTAGTACTCTGTGTGGTGCTTAGGACTGTTTGTGTCCCATAGAATTGCTCTTCTGAAACCAGATGGATGGAAGTGTAGAGGGAAATACATATTGTGTTTCCCGAACAGTTTGTTTTTAATGAAAATAAATATCTTAAGGAGATGAATCCTGAAGTTCATGTTGTTCATGTAACTGCAGTTAATAAATCTCTGCATAAATATTTGCAGGAGCCATAAGGCTGCTCTTTTCAAGGGAATTGGCAGTGTTGATGTAGGGGTGGCAACCTTCATTTTGACAAGCCCTGGAGTCCTCATCTGTCTTCTAAATTTACTTTTAAACTCCAGGGATTTGCATGTGTTTTTCCTCCTTCCTACTCCTCCCTCATTCACCACTACTGCATAAGCAAGGACAGATTTTGATGCCTCTCTAGGACTATATTCCATTATTGGACTGTTTTCTTTGCAGGGAGGAAGGAAAGCTGCAAAGGAATGTCCTCTCTTCTTAGAGAGGAGACATACCCTAACTTAAGTCTTTATGGCACTAAATGCCACACACATATTTTCTGAGTGAAAATGATTTCTGACTTTATAAACAGCTTGGAGTAAACACATTCTTAAATATTACAATCTGTATATTTGCTCAGAACAAATACACAGCGTGTTATTTTTTCTCTGTTTGCACAGCCACTGTGAAATGGTAACATGCAGGTTTTTTGCCATTCATGTAATCATAGAATGGTTTGGGCTGGAAGGGACATTAAAGATGATCTAGTTGCAGCACCCCTACCATGGACAAGGGACACCTTCCTACTCGAACAGGTTGCTCAAAGCCCTATCCAGCTTTTCATTTATCATCACTTGTTATCTGAAGGGTAATATCCAAGAAGAGGTTAAAATTATACCTATGCCTCTTGAATTCATCGTTTGTCCCTCTCTAGTTTTTCAGCTGAAATATCCCAGGCTTCCCACCAGAGGGGCTGCAGCTCACCCCTCGGAGATGCTGTTAACCAGAAGGGCCTGAGGAGGCACACCGAGTTCTTAGAGAGCTGAGGTCTCTTCCACAGCACAGAGCAAAAGCCTCGTGAGCTGCTCCCGTAATCTCATTACCCAGTTTTTGAGAAACTGGAGGCTTCCTGCCAGTCCTGGTGGAGCCTTTGGAAAGGGGGAGCCTGAACAATGGTGAGAACAGTTTGCTGTCAGAATGCCTGCTCCAAAGCTCTTTGTAGTTGGGACTCTTGAGCTGTCTTTGATATTGTCCTTGAGCAAGAGCTGCAATTAAATCACTGCCGAATTAAAAGACCATCTGAAGTCTGCTTCCCCTGGGCAGGGAGCTGCACACTCCAGGGGATGGATGGGCCACTGAGAGCTGCCAAATTGTGTTTCAAGACAAAGGGGCAAAACAACCAGTCCCTGAGCCTGCCGAGATGGTGTTGCAAAATGCAGGCTGTGGTTTGGGGTGTGCTTCCCTGCAAACCCCAGTGCTCCTTTTGCTGCCTGTACCCATTAAAGCTGCTCTGATGTGAACACATTTGAACTCTGCTTAAAAAAAGCAGAGTTCTTTAAAAACAAGCAAACAATCCGAACCCAGCCGACACCTTGGCCTGTGAATGCTGCATCTGAGCATGGAGCCATTCACACCAAGCATTTCCTAGAAGAGAGCCTTCTGCCTCTCTCCCAGCCTAGTAGCATCAGCTAAATCACATCCAGCACAGGCTGCACATAACTGGGCAAATGCCCTCTGGCTTCCACTGACCTCTATTTCTATATGACAGGTTAAAAAAAAAGGAAAAAAAAAAGGTATTTTATGGTCATTCCCTATTTGCATGTGACACTTATACTGCGTGGGCAGGCTTCTCCGGGTGCTGCTTGCTTCCCTCGGCTTCCTACATTTAATTTAAAAACAGAGAAGCATTTGCTGGGGTGGCTGGAGCTGTAGAGATGAGCTGTAGAGGGACTGAATATTTGCTATTCAGTCTGTAGATAAGCACCTCGGATCGTCAGATAGGTGCCTAAATTGCGTGAAGTAATTGGTACTGAAAGTCTCTTGATGTCTCTGCAGTGGTAACAGAGTAGTGGTAATAGAGCTCAGTATTGGGACAGCAAGCAGCAGTGCCCAAGGCATCTCTGGGACACGCTGCTCATCCTCTGGTGCGTGGGCTGGACTGTTTTGTTCACTTCTTGCCCATTAAAAAGGGAGTTTTATAAAAGCTATGATGTCGGGTAAAAGCCAAACGTCACTCAGCTGTATGTGCTGTAGGAGTGACTCCATGGCACTGACTGCAAACGCACCTGCAAAGCCGAAATGAGACATAAACCAGGCCTGTGTTCATGTCTTGTGTATCCTTGAAAAGATACAACTTAAACGATTGTTTTCTGTTACCCTCACACTCCCTTTAAGAGGTGCACTTTGGTTAACCTCTGTGGGACTGAACATCTGTGATATCAAACATCTGCCAAAGGCTTTTTTTTTTGCATCATTTGCAATACAAGAAATGCATTTTCAGCAGTTTTCTAGTGCAAGTGTTAAAGCTCTATTATAATTAAAGCAGCAGGAAAAGCCGGAGACAGAAGTCATCAGCTCCGAGTTATGTTAACATAAAAACATCATTCTCTCCAAGTCTCATGAATAGAAAATAATTTTACAGGGCAGTTACATTTTCTAAGCAAGGGCAGCAGCTGCTTCTGGATAAATAATGAGAAGTTTTATTACTGGATGTGGAAGACACAAATTACTGGGTGCTTAACCTTTTTGCCGGTGCATGCTTGGAAATCTGCCTGACTTGCACAGCTGGATTTAACAGATACTCATTTCTTGTTGGGGTTTGATTTTTTTTTTTAATAAAAACCTAAAAATTTTGTCACAGTGTGCAGAATAATTATACTAGTGATTCCTTCCAGATATCTGTGATTGGTTAATAGATACACATGGGCTTAGGCAAAGAAAGCACCAGGAATATTTCAAGGGTGGAGGATCCAGGGGATCCTTGGAGATTTGCCTTGTGCTCTGGAGGGGTCCCATCATTAGGGGTACTGAGCTGGTGAACCACAGTCATTGAAGTGCCTTGTCTGTGGGCTCTGCAGCTCATATTTTATGTGAAGATGGGAAGATTTGGGCTCAGACCCCCCCCCGCCATAGCCCCTAAGCATGAGCAGACTCCTCAGCCAGCTCAAGTGACCCTCTGAAATGCCACTAAGTGCAGCAGTGCCTGTCATCATGTATCTGGGTGCTGGCCCCAAAATGCTGACTGTATGTTAACTGGCTCAACCACCAGAGCATAAGGAACAATTTCAAGATAGGTAATTTGAAATATTTTGAAATATATTTAGTGCTCTGATGCTGCTGGATCCAACATGGTCTGTGTTTCTAAGGCTTCTTAAGGTGCAATAAAGTGTGTGGAGAAAAGTGTATTTATTCCCCCTTGCTGTGTGGGGTCTGTTTTTTTTACTGAGAATCTTGCTTTTGTGCACACTGAGAAGGTTGAACAGGGAAATAAAATTTGCTGTTGGGATGTAAACCTGAAGCAGTGAGCATTACAGTTAAAAATAAGGCCATGAAATACTGCTATCATGACATTTCATTTCTTCAGTGTAATGCTGATACTGAGTAGCTTTCTGCTATTTTGGAGGCAGAAAGTATTTATCTTGTGTAAGTGAAGCCTTCAGAATTGCAGTAGTCACCTCAGTATATGCAATTCAGCATCATCGAATGGGACCATGGGCTATCAGTGTCCAAACTTCATGGCTTATGGAAGCCCTCCCACAGCAATCAGCCAAGCAGGTTGTGCCATAGCTCTGCCATGATCTTCAGATTCCCTGTTTTATAAAACTCAGGCTCTTCCCCTCTTGTCCAGGATTGCCAAAAAATACTGCAACACAGTGGGCTTCCCAGCAGTCCAGCGCTAGGAAAATATATTCTGAGCAATAAGAAATCGTGAGGGAAAAGATAATGAGGATGGATGTGCCCTAAATTACATGCCAGTTAAATATTTACAACCACAGCTGTGTCAAGACTGAGTTCCCTGGGATGCAATCGCAGCATCTACAGGATTTGCATGTTTCATTAAGAAAAAGTAATGATACAACTTCAAAAGCAGCCTTCGAGAGGAAATGTTCTCCACCAACTGTTCTAAACCAGAGGCTGCACCCTTGGAGCAAAGGTGGGGCAAAGATCTCAACCTTCTCTGCTGCTCTGGGTTTCACCTGATGAAGATGGCCCTGGGAAGCTTTGGGGGTTCCAGACAGCCCTGGGGTACTTCCCGGGATGCACAGGGTAGTGCAGCAATGTGAATCCTCCTGTTGCTGGCACAAACACTGCCTAAAGCCCTCTGTCCCTCCTGGCAATCCCTAGGATTTGCAACCCATGGGTTTTAGGACATAAAGTTACAGGCACTGGGGCAGGGAAACCAGAGCGGCGAGCCATCGAGGGGTGATGGATGCTGGAGAAGAACCTCGTGGTGGGCAGACAGTGATGTCAGCCATCGAGACAGGCTCCAGCGGTGGGCGTGCAGCCTCGCCGGGCTCTGGCCGGAGCACCGGGAGCGGCGGCCGGAGCTCCTCGCCACCCGTTTGTCCGCAGCCATCCCGGGAGGGACCCGCTCCGGCAGCGCTCGCCCCCGCCGCCCGCAGCACCGCCAGAGCCAGCAGGGCAGGCGCCCCAGCCTGTCATTAGGGCCGAGCATCCTCCACCGGGCTCTTTGGGTGATTCTCTTACTCATCTCGCTAATTAATGATCGGGGTGCGCCTTCCTGTTGTTCCTGTCGCACTCGCCAGCCGGGCCCCCAGCCCGCTCCGCTGCCCGCAGGCTGCCCCACGCACGGCAGGAAGCTTCGGGACGGGATTCTCCCAGCGCCTCGGCCTCCCCTGCCTCGCTCCAGCTAGGAAATGGAATGCAAATTGGGTTTCGGGCTGTCTGGGCTGCGCCGGAGCCCGACGCCTCCGCGCAGCGCGGTTTGGCAGGAGAGAACGGCGGGGGCTGCCGGCAGCAGCGGGGCCGCTCCGCTCCCCCTTCCCGGGGGATGCTCAGCAGCTCCGCAGGAGCCGCAGTCCTTGCGCTTCCCACCCAGCTGCCATCTCTCCAGGCTGCCGTCATGCCGAGCTGTCACCGCGCTCAGCCCTGACAGCGGCACCGCGGCCTCGAGCCTTCATTAAAATGGCAAATACTGAGAGAGAGTAAATGTGACGCGAGTGAGTGGCGCTGGGGCGCAGGGATGACATCCATCCCTCTCCAGACCGAAATCTACTCCCAGGGACAACGGCAAAGTGATGCTCGGTGTGTCCGTGCACCGGTGAGGACCTGGCATTGGAAAGGACCTTACAGCAGTACCTGCAGGAGGGACCCTGCTGGAACACCCATCTTGGTAGGGGGATGTCACCTCTTCCAGATTAAAGAGGTTTGGAAGGCAAATCTCTGCGAGGTCTAACTTAAGGACTGACAGGGCGACTGCCAGCTCAAGCTGCAGATGATACTTTCATCTTAACAATCTGAATTGCAAAATATGTTTTTTTACCATCTCCCTCCCTTTTGTATCCAGCCTGCTTGTCAGTTTTTATATAACAAAACCTACTTTAAAACGCTGGATTTAGGTATTTTTGCTGAAATCCACTTTTTGGCTAAGTGGACTTTAACCCCACAGCAGAAAAATCCCATAATTTGGCACAGAACTGCACTCTTCAAAATTCTCTGCAAAAAGAAAGACACATGAAAGCTGTACCTCCTAAAAAACATCAACCTATATTGTAGCTTAAATAACTCTGTAAGAAATAACATCCTCTGATTAGTTAGTTTTTTTTTTTTCAAGTCACATTTAATGTTAAGATTTTGTCTGTTTGCAAATGAAAAGTATTTCATTATTTTGGTACTACCCAACAAGAGCTGACAAGAACCATTTCTCTGGGAAATAAACTGCAGAGGTAAAATCATATTAAAGCAATTATTTAAATCAATCTGTTTCCTTAGAGCAGTTCATTTTGAGTTACTCATATTGAAATGTTCTATCTATAACATAGGAAACATTAGGGCTTCACTGCCTGTAACATTTGGGTCATTCCATCCATCCATCCATCCATCCATCCATCCATCCATCCATCCATCCATCCATCCATCCCAAGTGCAAACCAATGTATTTTGTGAATTTACTCCATTTCTTACATACATCTGTGAAAAAAACCCCCAACCAACCCAAACCCCACAAAAACAACAACCCCCCCACAACCACATCTTTGCTTTTATACATGTTGCACATGAGAATGTCCATGATTTATGCAGGGATTGCACCTTGGATTCAAACACCAGATTCCTGGCTGCTGTAGAGTCAGTCCTTTTAAGCCTAAGGAGCTGCCATGACCTTCAGCAGCTGGAGATCCAGCCCTGTGCATTTCTAATCCACTTCTGGTGCCCCAGGGCAGGGAAGAAAATGCAATATTTGTTTGTGCCATCATTGTCTACTGGCAGTTTCCACAAGGAACTTTTCAATGGACACACTTGTTTTCTGCTGGGCTCAGTGTTGACTTAACAGAAAAGCTTTTTATCCCCCTGGAAGCCTTTCTGGGTATGAGTTATACTATTTAAACACCCTTTTCTTTGCTGCTAACATAAAAAAGCTGTGGGAGATGAAAATATTCAAAATGATACAGCAAAGCAAGGATAGGGAACTTGTTGGATATAGAGCTGAATTTTGTCCCCACTGAGAAGAGCACTGGAAACGTGGGACAAAAGCAGCAGCACAGGCTGTGGGGTGAGCAAAAGAACCACTTCCATAATTCAGAGGGCAGCAAGCAATGAATTCCAGGGTAAGGAGCCAGACAGCTCAGAAGCAAGCCGAACGGGGCTATAAAAATGATTGGATATCAGGAAAAAAAATCTTCCCTGAGAGGAGTGTCCAGCATTGGAACAGGCTGCCCAGGGCAGTGGTGGAGTCACCATCCCTGGAGGGATTTAAAAATTTGCACATGTGGCACCTGTAGGGACATGGTTTAGTGGTGGCCTTGGTGATCTTAGAGGTCTTTTCCAACCTGAATGATCCTGTGATTCTATGATAATTCCAGATTATTTTAGCTGTTGGTGAGGATGATGGTCCTATAGTCAGGCCACCCTTTGGTGCTCTGGCACAGCCAGGCAGCCACATCCTCACAGGTTCCCTGGCCCAGCACTCTTTCACAATAGTAAATTTATCATTCCTTCTATGAAAGAATGTTTTATTAATGTTCTACTCTATAATCATAAGGAAGGAGTAGAGAGTCTTAATTAAGTCATTAGCAGCTGTTATGAGACTATATTTTGTTCTATAAACCTGAAAGAGAAAATAGTATTAATACTATTAAAAATGTGTAACTTCTTTCCCTTGTATTTTGTGTATGTTTTAAAGTGTTTCAAGAAATTACATGAAGGACATTATGCAAAAAAAACAGTTAGGGTGTGGGACCGATTTCATCTCTCATAGAAAGTGCCAAAGCACCAAATGTGCTGCTCCCCCTCCCAAAATGCCAGCCCCAATCTGAACGCTGCCAGCACCAAACAGTGCACCTGAAAACAGCAATCCCAAGACTTGGGAGCAGGAGCCAGCAGTTTGCAGAGCAAACCAAATCCCCTGCATGAAATCAGAACTGTGCCATTCCATGGGCAGTGGGGTTTGCCAGTCTGCAGAGCCTCAAACATTTTTCTCTGGTGCCACGGGGTATCTAATAGGGAATTTACCCATGGGGCAGCAGGATGGCTTTTCTTAGCTGCCAGAGATTTGTGATCCTTCACACATTCCTTACAGCAGTCTCTGGGCAGCCAGGACTCTGTAGTGGAAGTCATTGACCATCAACCAAAAGGAAATGTCATGGAAAGGGCAGAGGAGGAGCAAACCTCCAAAGAATTTGGATCTGCCACCAACATTAAGATTTCTCTCTACTCACTGTATGACTGCCTGAAAAAGCTGGACACAACGGAGCACCACTGTGAGTTAATCCTTTCACATAAAAATCTCTCCATAGCTGCCCACTCAAACACAAGGCAAGAAAACAACAGGTACATTCAGCTTTAATGAAATAATCATCAGTTCTATGTACAGCTGTAACAGAGGGAAAAACAGCTACAGGAGAGGATGCAAACTCAACCCCCTGACACGGAGCAAGTCGCAGGGCAGGGCTGGACCAAGCATTTCAGCAATTCTCCTCCTGTTTTTGAGGATGTGTTTTGCCTCAAAGGCAATATTAAAATAACACAAAATCCTCCCAAAACAGCTTAGCAGGCTGACAGAGGAAGACAGCCTGGCCCTGTGGGGTAATTTTGTGTTTATTTACTAAAGCTTGGACATCCTCCTCTGCAGCTGATCCAGTGGGATGCCACAGCAATACTGCAGCCCTTTGCTCAGCAGCAGCCTGCCAGAGTGCCCAGTGTAATCCCATGAGCCACTCTCAGCATCAGGATGGCTCTTCCTGGGTGCTGCAGCAGCTCCAAAGGTACATCTAAAAGTCCTTTAAAAGTCCCTTTTCCAGAACTATGGCAAAATACCTGGAAGGACCGGTGTGAAGTAAAAAGCCATTAAAATTGTGCACACTGAATTATCAATAGCTTAATAAACAAATTCACAGGAAAAAAAAAAGACACTTTTTTTTCTTTACCACCCTCTGGGGTTTTTTTTAAGTTTTGCTTGCACAGAAATGAGCCGTGGCTCTTGCTGCTTGCTGTCCTCTCGTGACATCGAGGAGATGTTTCATCAAGGTTTAAAACAATGTGCACCAGGTACGAGGGACAGGAACAGCCCCTGTGTTTTAGCAGGAATCCAAAGTCTGCGCTGGCAAGGGGAATCTCAGCACATGGTCAGTGAGCAATTGCCATTGCTGCTATTTCTGTGCCGGCTCAGGAACACGCAGGAGAATTTTCTCAGAGGAACACACTTGGCCACAGCTGGATGCAAATCCCAGCCAGGCAGATGCAATCCCGTGTTATTGAAAGGCTCCTTTCTCCTGCAGAGCAGGTTAGCTGGGGGTGATGGGCGATGCTCACACACACACGCCAGCCAGTGCAAACCCCTCGGGCAGGGCAGTTCGGGGGTCTGGCAGCTGTAGGCTTGTCCAGGCATTTTCCAGCCATGTCCTCAGGCCTTCATGTCTGGATTCTTTTTTTCCCTGAGGACTTTGGTAAGACTGCTCCAGCATTTCCCTGCATGTTTCAGAGCGAGCTACATGGCGTGCCAGAGCCTGGTGGCAGCGAGCCGGGCGTAAGGCAGGATTCCCAAGGGATGGCTGGGCTGGATGGAGGCAGGAGGCGAGCGGGGAGTGGTGCGGGACAGGCTGCCGCCAGCAGCCAGGGATGCCAGCGGCACTCAGACCAAATCAAAGCCATCCCAGCGCCGGCAGCACACTGCAGCTTCCCGAACTATGCTGACTGCTAACACGCATGCAGCTCACTGCTATTTATATCACATGCCATGTATAAAAGATATGCTACATCCGAGGAGAGCTTCACCACGACACCGGGATGGGGACGGAGGGAGGCGAGGGAGGAGAGGGGCTGCCTCCCACGGCCAGGATGCCCGATGCAGGGAATTGTGCCGATGCAGGGAATCCTGCCCGATGCAGGGAATTGTGCCCGTCGAGTTCAATGGTGCGAGAAAGGCTCCCCCAGCAAACGAGGCGCTGCCGCTTTCTTGGCATTCACACAGCCCGGGGTCAGCAAGGCGAGGCTGATGCTGAGCTTTGCCGTGTCTGGAGATGCTGCTCGTGTGTCGTGACACGGGGGGAGGCCAGTGAAGGACAGAGCTCGCTGGAACCCGCTGGCTTCGTGTGACAGCAGTGACCACGGGTCCTGGTGCCTGTGCCCAGTGAGGGCCTGTTCACAGCACAAAACACAGCCTGGCACTGATGTTTTCATGTTAATATTGCAGACACTTCCCTCTTCCTCATCTGCAATAAAGCCTCCAGCTGTTTCAGAGTGCCCCAAATCCAGCCCAGCAGAAGGTCAGGCACTCACTGCCTTTCAGGACCTTTCTTCAAACACAAGGAATGTACAGATCTACAGCATGAACAGCGGGGAAACAGGGCATGGGTGACGGCAGAAATGTGGCCTTGACGTAAATGTGCCAATAAGTGAAAATACAGTCACTGTAACACCTTAGTTTTTCCACAGCTGTGGTCACTGGCACTGTCTGCAGCCCCAGGGGACACACTGCACTCAGCAGAGCATGCCCACATCCCAGGATCTGTTTCACATAGACACACAACTGAACTGAACTGAACTGAACATGCAGAATTAACTACACCTCGGCCTCGGGAGCTCTCCGACTTCTCCACACACCCCGCAGGCCAAATGGAGCTTGAAATCACTCCCTCTCCTCTTTCTCTCTGGGGCAAGGCTGCCATCACAGAAAGCTGTTGTGTTTATTCTGTTCCAGGGCCATTTCGTTGACCAGCTGCTCTATGGATGACTGAATGGCCGCCTTCACGAGGGAAGAGGCGGTTTCTATGAGGAGCAACTCGTACTGCTCCCCAGTTCTGTGCCCCTGGTCACCCAGACCTTTCTCCTCTGCCTGGGGACCGCCATCAGCCTCGGAGCACTCTTTTTGACCAACCTCAGCATTCCTGTTTGTTTTTTTATTCCCTTTTTGCTTTTTTTGGTGCAAAACTGGGGATGGCTCATAGGCCTGGTCAGAGTCGGTGTTGTCAGAGTCCTCAGCTTCGGTGATGGTGATGACGATGCTGACACCAGCACCTGCATTCGCTTCTAATACCTTCTGGCTGGAGCACTCCTGCACACTTGCTGCCTCTTGCACACTCGCTGCCTCCTGCACACTCGCTGCCTCCTGCACACTCGCTGCCTCCTTCACACTTGCTGCCGCCTTCACACTTGCTGCCTCCTTCAGGCTTGCTACATCCTGTGCACTCACTGCATCCTGCACACCTGTGGCATCCTGCATGCTTGCTGCATCCTTCACACTCGCTGCATCCTGCACACTCGCTGCCTCCTGTGCACTTGCTGCACCCTGCACACTTGCTGTCTCCTGTACACTCACTGCTTCCTGTGCACTCGCTGCCTCTTGCACAGTCACTGCCTCCTGTGTGCTTTCTGCATTCTTCACACTCACTGCATCCTTCACACCCACTGCATCTTGCACACTCGCTGCTTCTTGCACACTCATGGCATCCTGCACACTCGCTGCTTCTTGCACACTCACTGCATCCCTCATGCTTTCTGCATCCTTCACACTCACTGCATCCTTCACACTCGCTGCCTCTTGCACACTCACTGCATCCTTCACCCTTGCTGCCTCCTGCACACTCACTGCATCCTGAATGCTTTCTGCATTCTTCACACTCACTGCATCCTGTGTGCTTTCTGCATCCTTCACACTCACTGCATCCTTCACACTCGCTGCCTCTTGCACACTCACTGCATCCTGCATGCTTTCTGCATTCTGCACACTCACTGCATCCTGCGTGCTTTCTGCATCCTTCACACTCGCTGCCTCTTGCACACTCACTGCATCCTTCACACTC